CAGGCTTTGTCTCCTTTTTCGCCTTAATAATAGCAAAAATCTCCCCAAACTTATTGTCATTACCCCTGCCAGCCGTCCCTACAACTTAAGAAACTCGGCACTTGTTATATTCCCTCCTTCATCCTCCTCATCTAAACGCTCCTTGTTTTTTGCTTCTAGATATAGTTTTCTTTGGAATCACTTGCTGATTGAAATTAGGTATTTAACAAGACTGTCTGCTTCCAAGTGAAGACTGCACATTTATCTCAACACTGATTCTGTTAACTATTTATTCTCCTAATCTGACTGCACATTTATCTTAACACTGATTCTATTAAACTTTTATTCTCCTCATCTTTTCCGAGCAACTTTCTCCATGACTCCGAGGAAGGACCATCGGGAATTTAGGAGATCCTCTTGAAACTATTTTCTCTGCCTCGTGTCCCCCGGGAACCTAGATGTTTCCATTAACCAACGCTCAATCAAACGAAGTCACGTGGACGTACTCAGTCTAAGCTGCTGCCGTTTCTTTGGCTACTAACCATCATCAGACTTCCTAAACCTATTTTTACTCTACTACTCTGTCTTATGTTCCTAAGCCGTTATATTCCCTTACAGGCTTTTTGAAAATGAAGGCCCGTTGAACTCTACTCCATTTTCACTGTAAGAGTTTTTAAACTGCCTATATTTTTAAGTTTATTAGTTCACCGTTGACTGCAAAACTTCGCCAAATTTTGCCCCAAAAGGACAATTTCTACTGACATTATTACGACTTTCTACGTCTATCTGTGCACATTGTCAAATTCGTTTTTGAACTTTTTCTTTTTACGAAACTAATTTTGTATGGACAGTGCCGTTGTGGCGCTAACAAATATGAATTCCAAATTCCAAATCAGTGAACCTTCATGGTATGATTGGGCTGTCGCCCAAAGCACTGATCCCGACACGGCCATTATCTATGACCACCAGCTCAACGGCGAGTATCACCCTACGGATAACGACCATCGTGAGTCCTCTGAGACCACCAGAATTCTACGGAATCTGTGGGCGCAGCTTTATATGAACAATGACCTGCTCTTTTTCAAGGACGATATCAACACGTCGCCATGCTTAGTAATCCCTGGGAGTATGGTCCTACCCGTTCTGAGCGACTTACACCACGACTTGGGTTAGGTCGATCAGGCCAAAACATAGGCAGCGGCCCGCCAAAGATTTTGGTGGCCACGCCTCCGAGAGCAAGTTGGCATCTTCTGCAACA